TTAATTTTACGGGACGTATCTTCTTCCGTACTGGTCTCCGTCTCGTTGGCTTCTGCTTCACGTGGGGTTCATCTGCTCCATCAGGAAATGTCCTATTATCGGTAACAGTCACATCAGTGGTAGTAATTCATTAATGGCTTCACTGTTTCCCTTCTCAAAACCGGGTAGAGTTTCTTCTTCGACAGTGGCTTTTTCAGGTGACACGTCTTCAGCAGCGTCATTTGTTCTGTTATTCACTTCGTTCCAATTGAAATGTCCTGGACCGTGATAACGCCAAAGCCTGTTGGCATGCACCACCTTTGGCTTACCTCGACGACCACATTTTATTCGGAAAGTCACGTCTGAGAGACGATCCACTATGTCATATGGGCCTTCCAATGGAGAAGACAACTTAGGAGACTTCCCTTTGGTCTTTCTGGGATTACACAACCACACCTTTTCTCCTTGTACAAAAATGACTTCAGTAAATCTGTTATCATAACATAGCTTCATGGAATCAGTAGACGTTTTCAAGTTTGAACGCACTTGATGATGAATATCACCCATCCTCTCAGATAACACTTTCACGAACTCTGACACATTTTCAGGCAACTCTTCGTAAGGTGGGCGTCCTGTCATCAGATCCACTGGCAACCGAAGTTCCCGACCAAACATCAGCTTTGCTGGAGTGTATCCAGTGGCTTTATGCTCTGCTGTTCTATAGGCCATCAACAGTGGAGGGAGTAAGACATCCCAGTCATCTTGGTGGCTATTACAAAACTTTGCCAATTCTTGTCCCAGTGTCCAATTGTACTTTTCTACTATCGCATCAGACTGTGCGTGAAGTGGCGTTGTCCTGGTCTTTCGTATGCCAAACAACTTGCAGCATTCTTGGAACACAGCTGATTCAAAAGTTACGGCCTTGATCTGAATGCAGTTTATATGACATACCAAATCTGAAGAAGAAGTCACTAATAGCCGAAGCTACAGTTGTAGCTTCCTGATTTTGTATTGCACATGTCTCAGGCCACTTGGTGAAATAATCCATCACCACACAAATGTTCTTGTTTCTAGCACGAGTATAGGGCAGAGGACCAGCAATGTCGACGGCTACTCTTTCCATTGGTGTGCCAACTTGATATAACTTCATTGGAGCACGTCCCTTATGCTTTGGTCCCCTTTTAGCACAACATGTACTGCATGTCCTGCACCATTCTTCCATATCTTGCCTGATACCTATCCAGTAAAATCTGTGTCGTAGGTGACT